AGGCGTCGGTCTGTGTTCTCAGTGGTCCCATCCTGGCTGTACCTTTTAACCACCTGAACAGCTTTTGAAAAAATGCTGTGCTTAAGGGGCCCATCCCAGCCAGCCTGAGTCAATCCTGTTTGATTGGTCTGGGGCCTGGGCATCTGCATCTTTGAAGAGTGCTCCAGATAATTCTAATGTGTATTCAGGGTTAAGAATCACTGGCTAGGGAAACATACAGTGTGAATTTTTTCAGATCTTATCTCCTTCACTGGGAATGCTCAGATTTTACAGAACAAAATTGAATTTGGGAGTTCAGAGAAATGTACACTTCTTTTCCTTGACCAGCAGATTCAGATCTGCAAATTAAGGGACAAAATGCAGAATTCTGTCTGCTCAAGGAGGGGAATTACCCTGCCTGTTTATTGTCCCAGCACACAGTGCATTATGTGGCACTTGATCGATATGCAATAAATATTATTAGCACAGAATTAAAAAGACAGAATCAGACAAGTAAACACTGCACTTGATTTATCTTCTCATGAGCTGACCAGAACATTAAGACCTTTGTTTTTCTGTCTCTGAAATGCTCAAGGCAAAAATAATGCGGACTGCTGTGGCTTTCTGATGAGCAGAAAGATAAAGGATGAATATCCTTGCTTTCCCCTGTGAATGAAGGCAGATTTGCATGTGGATCACATAAATGAACTACTTTCAGGTTGGGTGATAAAAGAAATCACACCTCATTAGATAAGTGATATTTCTTAGGTCTTATTACTCAAGACGGATGGTTGCCCCCTTTAGTCTTGTTTTTGAGTTCACTCTTCTCCAGATAGTCTGCTCAATAGTGTATTATTTTCAGGTCAGAAGTTGAGATTTCTTTATTCTCAGTGCCCATGTACCCGGCACGCAGAGGGGGTCATTAAAACCATCCTTTGGGAATTATTTGATTCCCGGTTACTCTTTCCCAGAGGTATTGTTTGACCCTTTGGTTGCCTTAAGGAACCTTTTCTCTTTTCTCCTCATCTTCCCTAAAATGTGTTACCCGATCAGCAGAGCAGAGCCGAGGACTCCTGGAATTCATATGGAGGTTTTATTAGTGGTCTTCAGTGTTCTTTCTTTGAAATGTCAGCTCCGTTTGCACTGACAATAAAAAAAAAATGTGGTTTCACCCTGTGTAGAACCTGTTGCTCTTCCCTATCTCCCTCATAGAGAATGCAAAAAATAAATTAAAAAAAATATATTGCTTTCTAAACAACAGAATTTTGAAAATAACTTCTCTGTTGCTAGGCTTGTCACCCTCCTTGCCTGTTGGGTGCTTCCGTCAGGGACCCATCTAGTTAGTTATTAAGGTAAAAAAAGAAAATCGGGCCAGTTTGCCGTGAAGTTGGCTTTTTGAATTCCCCTCTTAATAATTTGAAATAATTAATAGTTTGATTCTGTGTCCAGATAAGCCATAACATCTGATTAAGTAGTGAAAGGTTCATGAAGTTTTCTGTGAATAAGTGATTTCAGTCGTTTGGATTCAGACAGTTTAGTTCCAAAAAGTTAAAGTCATTTGTTTGCCATTTGTGGATTCCCACAGAAACTGGGAGTTAGATCTGTTGGCAGGATGCCAAATCCAGAGGCTCCTCCTCTCCGCGTTGTACTGAAAGCTGACGGGGTGCGTTTTTTCCCAGAGGAAAGGCCGTTTCTTTTTCTCTAATGAGAAGTTTAACTGGGGATGTGTGCACTTTCTGGCTCCAGCTCTTAGGAGTTACTGGCAGTCTGTGTGCACAAAATCCTTATCCCTCATGGGATATAATCACTAAATACTACGCCAAACTATTTATGCTTCTCTTGTCTTTTTAAAAACCATTTGCTGAAAACAGTTGTCACCACACTCCTGATGCACGCCTGTCGGAGGCGGGCTGCCAAGGAACGAGACAGCCTGTGCTACGTGTGTAGCCAGTCCGGTGCCTGCCGTGGAGTGGGCACTCCCTAAACGTTGTCATAGATGCTGCTCAGTAAGCCTGCAAGGAGCTCTTCCCAGTGTGGTCAGTGACGAAGTGCCTGCATCCAAATTGCGCCGATGGCCGTCAACGCGCCCGCCACCCGGAAGGAAATCTCCCTGCTTTCTGCCCCTCTCGGGCATCTTCAAAGCAGTTCTTTAATGACTCACCAATGTTTTAACACAACTGACAGCTTGTCACTTTGTTTTTGAGTTTCCTTTTTTTGCTCATTGCTTTAAAAAGGGTGTGCTTTACAAACATGTGAAAGAGTGATACACATGTGGTTACTGCCTTGCATTGCCTGAAATGGGAATTTCCAGGTGCCTTTCTGCACCTGCAGTCACGCGCTCAGCTGGGTCAGCATCTGGGTTAGGCTGCCGCGGGAGAGTCTGAGAAAGGGGGCTCTTGATGGGGATTTCACAGCGACTTCCACGTAAGCCAGCCTAAACCAGGTGCATTTGTGTGCGGAATCGGGAATTAACTAATCTCCTGTGTCAGTATGTGTGGGTCCAAGAGGTGATTTAAAATGATGAAGAAATTTTACACAAGAGAACTTTAAGCCCGGACACGTCACATCGAATTCTTTAGCTCTTGGAGCTGTTACTGTAGATAGTGTGTTATTCTGATTACCACTTTACTGTTTGAATATAGGGTAACATAACTCTTATTTCAGACTGTTCAGTTAAAACCTTTTTTTTTTTTTTTTTGGTTAAATTTAACACTAAGATCGTGTATCATGGAACCTCATTCGTCATGAATGAATTTAGTTAATCACTTGTCTAAAGTGAACCAGCCATTTTTTATCCATTATTTGTCCCATTTCTAGGGCCATAGGATTAGACTGAGTTATATTTTGACTAGAATAGTAAAATATGTAATTTGCAGTATATCCTGCATGGTTATTTTAACAGTATCTCTAGTGTACTGATTTTCTACACTTTATGTTTGAATGAAAATATTTCTTTCATCTGTATGTTTCTAGCTGTCATGATAAATGTTTCATCTTATGTAAATGCAACATTACTGAGTCTTTTTCTTTTACTTTTATTTAAAACACCAAACAGCACAAAAGCTATAACTTAATTATCTATGGAATGTTTATTTTGGAGGCAAAATAATTTAGTTAACAAAAATGCTTGAGAATAAGCATAATGAAGCAGCTTTTGTACATAGAAATGTATTTTCATTTGTCAAAGTACTTCATATATTCATAGGAATAATGGAAAATATGATTGCCTAAATAATGTCATATGCTTGTAATACAGTTTGAGATGGATGTTAAATTCAAATGAAATGGTGTATCATTTCTATCATTCTTTACAGTCAATATTAGAACAACTTATGATAACAATGAAATAAAAGTTTTATAGTACTTTTTAAACAACAAAAGGGTCTCTTTATCATATGTTGCTTAGTTGCCATATTTTGAAAACAGCATTAAGACGAACATTATTGTTTGAAAAATCCAGATATTAAGCTAAGAACATTAATCTTGACAACTTTCCATTGGATTATAGAAAAACCTGCATTCATGATTAATTTGCAATTTGAAGGCATTAAGGACCCTGAGACTATAAAATTCTTATTGGACAATGCACTTATTTTGATATATCCTTCAACAGTATTGATGAAAATAAACACATGCTTATTGATTGATTAAAATACAAGTCTGAAATTACTGTGTTCTTGAAAAAGGCATGTATGCATATCAAAATAATATGCACTAAGTAAGATTAAGAAAAAAAAAAGTTGCCATTGAATATGAAGGGAGAGTAATAAAAATACTTATTTTCAAGTCATGTTCTAGATTTTGAGGTTATCTGTTATGGAAGATACTATATTTCAGGGTGTGTCAGAGGTGTGTTATCTAAGATCAGAAGTTTCCTGTTTATTAGTTTTATAAGTCATTCAGTAATTTATTGAAAATTTGCTAAGAATGTGTCACATGCTCTGCTGGGTGTAGCGTGGTAAAAGAGAACTGCCCACCTTCAGGAAATCTCACCTATATTTATCATGTACTAACCCCAGTTATACTCAGGATATGGAATATTCAGGGTATTTAACCAAAGGCTGGCATATAGCAAAGGCTCAGTAAAGAGCAATTATTAATGTTCTGTGACATCCCTTATAGCTATTTTTCATCTGCTGAGGAGCAAAGTTTAAAATTTCTGCATTTTTCAAGAGTAATGATAACCATCCCATGTATGTGTAATGAAAACATCATGAGTAGCAATAGTTTTATGCAATGAGTAGAACAGAATTTTACAGCAACTCTTTATACTATAAACACAAATGCTTTCAGGTTAACTAGATTTCTCTTGAGAGAAAATGTTATTACTATTTTCAAATACTTTTAAATGTATAAAAGTGATTGGAAAAAAACATTTTGTCATGAAGTTGCCCAGTTAATAAGCTGTTACCAACTTTGGACTCCAACAAACTATGTGTTTCGAAGAACCTTCTGAAAGTAAATAGCACAGTGATATACTTCTTAAAAAATTAAACTTATACACTGAATGTTCAAATTGTTTCTTGGTAAGTATTGTATCTCAAGTTATGCTGTCCAATGTGAAAGTCCCTGGCCACATGAGTCTATTTAATTTAAAATACTTCAAGAATTCAGTTACAGTCATATCAGCCACATTGCAGGTGCTCGGTGGCCAAAGGTGGCAGGCAGGTGCCATATGGAATAGTGCGCATTTAGCACACCGGCGTCATCGCAGAGCGTTCTCCTGGGCAGCGCTGCTCTGTCATGTGTGGTCAGTATTTATTACTTACAACTATGACCACACAGAAAATGAACTATTAAGTTGGGTTTCGATAATTTGAAGCGTTCCACCACATCTTCCATGTCTTGATTCAGTTATTTGGCAAGGTCTTTGACCGATGGGGTTCCTTTAAAATGACTTTAATTTCAGTAAGAGTTACAACTAAGTAAAGGCTCAGAAAATGAAGGGCTTTCCTCAGTGGCTTTCAGGAAACTTGTCTGAAAAAAACGGCTAATCAATGAGATCCATGCTTTCTCTGCAGTGCCTTCCAAACCTTGCTTTCTGAGCGCCCCCCCGCTCTGCTCGGCGTGCTGCGGTGAGTCCTGCCAGCGCCCTGCATCCGCCACTGCTTTTCCAAGTAAGTTTTCACGCATCATCAGCAAGGCTTCAGCTCCTCTGTAAACCAAAGCAGCAGGATTTAATGTGTCTGGAAACCTAATTGGTAGTGCGATGGCAAGGAGCTAATTCTCCACTAGAACTCACAGCGTTCCCATTCAGGAGTTTTCCAGAGATTTATCAGAGCTGGGCACACTGAGCCATTGTGGGAGGTTTCTGAGGGCATTGAAACCCCGCACTCACCCACCGGGCGGAGCGACCTGGTTCCCGTTTGATAGAAAAGGTCTCAGAGGGACCCGTTTGGATTCTTCTGAAATGTGTAGCAATTAAATGTGTACTCATTTAAAGAAGAAGAAAAAGGAGGGAAGGAAAGCTAAGAAATTGTGCCGTGTAAAATTTCCATTCAGTTTCAGATGTCATACAAAGTCACGTGGTGCCCATGGTGAATAATTAAAAATGTTCAAGATTGTCAAAAGAGATAAGTACCTCCTTTGTATGATCTTAGAGAAAACCAACCAGAGTCATAGGAAGTATTTTCAAGAGAGCGTTTCTGCAAATATTACAAAATTTTACTAGTGTCCAGAGGTGGAGGGAGGACAACTTTCAAAAAGTTGTAGAGTGAGTGCACACACGCATTCCCAAGCAAAGAAAAAAGTGTCTCGCTACAAGTTCACCTTGATCTTGAGATTTCTGGGTCAGACAGGAATCTGGAGGCAGGGAATTTGCATTTATGATAAAGAAGGCCGGTGGAGGGGCTCCTTCGTTCCTGCTGCCCGAGAGGAGACATGCTTCCAGGTAAACTGCTCTGTCCGGTGAAAAGAAACGGCTGCACAGTCAGGCGACGGGCTCTGCGTTGGGGTCCCCGCTGCCTCTCCGCGTGTGTGTGTTTTGAATGTTTCAGCAGAGCAGTTGCTTGTCAGCAGAGGGATCCCTGACAAGTGGGGCAGCAAACGCTGGCCGTTCAATGAGCCGCAAGCGTCTCGTCAGGGGCTGGGGCTTTCCCACGGGGCGCCTCACAGGGGACCCCCCACAATGCAGCCGTGCTGTAGGCCATCACCACATTCACTGGGCTCGTCCCCACGCGACCTCGTGATTTTTCACTGTGCAGGTGAACTTTAGGAAGCATTTTGCATGGAAAAGGCCTGGGCAGGGGTCAGTTGCCCTTTTGTGTGGCCAATAAAGCAAGGCTCTGTGTGCCAGTCTTTTCTCCTGTCTCACATCCCGAGTGAATTTCTGGGCACCATTTAAAGCACTTGACCGAGAAATAAAGCAGTGAGTGAAACTGACTTTTATAGACTCTTTCTAGCTCATCTTCCCATATAACCGTGTCCACCTGAAAGGCGATTTAGTGGATGGGCTCATTGTATACAGGGCTTGCTGAATACATAGGGCCCATTATCAGCTGTGGGGATTGTTTATGAACCAGGACTGACACGCTACTATTTTGGAAGTGACCTATTAATTGTCCATTTAACTAGAATGTATTGATTCAAACAGGAAAGTAGAAACCGTGACTAAACCCTTGGCTCGCTCCTTCAAGGTGGTCCCCCCATGCGGGCAACTGAAAACTGCTGTGCAAATTAAGGAGACATTTATCACCATAGATTAGGGTATCAGGAAAAGATTGCTGGAGTAGAGGTTTAAAACCCAAATATCTGATACGGTAGCCTAGGGGCATCTCTGTGGAATGAAATCTGTAGTGTTGTATTCCACCATGGAGATTAAAAGCAGCCCCACAGCTAGTATATTTCACCTTGATGCAACACTGGTCCTCTACTTTAGAAAATCCCTGGCAGTGTGGTTTAGGTAAGTGGAAATGGACAAAAAATGTCACATAATAGGTGGACATTCACGTATGTGTGTGTTTATTTATTTATGGTAGTGTTTTAATGATAGTCTCCAAGCCATAAAACGGGACTAATGCCCGGGCTGGTTGAATGAAGAGAGAACAAAAAAGAATTCTAAAGACATTTTTGAGATAATTTCATCTTCTCAATTGCTTGAAATATTATTTTGAGCAAGTCCCCTTTTCCTGATGTGCTTCTCAGTGCTGCCCTCTTCAACTCTCAGCAAAACTGCTGTAGGTTGTGGTGTCCGTCCCTGGACGCGTGTATCTTTTACTGACCTCAACATGCAGGGGGGAGATCCGCACGCTAAGGGCAAGGGTGGGGTGTGCTGGCTCTGGCTTGTCTCTGTTTCCACAGTTGGTGTTTTAAAACAGTGTAGGGAGGCTGCAAATGTTTCTCATAAACTTCTGTGCCTCCTTAGTTGTGAATCTGAACTGGATCTTTTGTTTTGTTTGTTTATAATGTTCATCATATCGGAAACAAAAAATAATGAAAGGGGTGGATTTCATGCTGTCAATAAAGAATTTTGCATATATAACCATGGTATCAAGGAACAGCTAATAACGCTTACATCTATCTGCACAGTAATTCTTATGTAAGGCATTTACTAGATTTTCTCTTTCTTTTATTCTTTTTTCAATAATAAGAATGATTTTTATGTCCAAGCATTTACATTTTTTTCCACTGTATGAAAAGAGGACGATGAGCAGTCTGAGTAGTCTTGCATTAAGTTTCAACATGGACAGCCAAAATTAAGGTGTATACTAAAAATTGTAATAAATGGTGAAGTCAGTGGCCTTCATCACTGCTCACAATATTGACTTCACACTTTCCACAAGTGTGGCCTCAGATCAACACGTCTATAACCAGCAAGTGAAATACCATTTTGACTTTTTTAACGTGACTCACGTATTGGAAACTGATTTAACTTCCCTTGTTATAATTTATGATTGACTTGTCATAGTGTGGGAACCATCATTGCTCCAGCGCCCTTCTCATACAAAAAATGATGGAAGAAGCTATTTAAACAACCTATACAATGGAGGGAACCACGAAAAGGCTGTCATAAATGTGCGTCCTCCCCCCTAAGCAGTGTAAGGAAAATCTTTGCTATCATCTCCATGAAGTTCTTTTCAAAATAAAAACATTTCTCAGCTAACATGAAATGGAAAGTTGTGGAAGTTATGCAAGAAATGACCTTAAAAAAATACCTGAAAAAGTATAGGAGTCTTAATTATGTCGAATAGCTAATTAAAGCAATCAGATATTTTGTTCTGTCTTTGAATGCCCAGCTTGAATCTGACCTTTAGAGACTTTTAGGCATTAAAAAACAAAGTTTAAATTTAGAGCATTATAAAAATACAAGCAGGGTAATATTCCTATGGGACAAGCTGTCTGCCTTTTTCCTGGGAGATGAGCTTATATTCTACCTTTTAAGATCATTGTACTTTCTTCCCTTCCTTGTTAAAAGAACGTAATATACTCTCCCAGTGTAAATACAGGATTTTGTTGAAGGCAGACGGGGGGCATTTTTATTGCTGTGAATGTAGGGGGTCCTGGGCGTGTCTTTCTCGGCCGGCGGTGCTGTTTCCTGCTCCGGCCTCCTGGCCTGGCAGCTGAGGACCGCCTGCACCTGCGGAGACCCACTGCCGGCTGCGTGGAAGCTGCTCTTTCAAGAACTTCTCTTTAGGGTCTAAGATCTCCAGGGGGACACGGCATCTTGTTTTAATAGAGAAAGAAGCCTAATTATTTCGTTGAAAATAGAATCAAGTTTGTTCAATAAGTTGAATATAGGTTTTGACTTCTCGGTAGGGAAGGGAGGGGAGCTCTGGGCATAAATGACACTCAGCCAACCAGGAAGAATGTTCAAAGGAGTCAGAGGCTCAAAGAAGTAGATTTTCCAAGTTGATGGCTCTATTCAGCGGCTCTACAGAGGCAGTGAAAGGACCTGTGTGACATTCCTGGGACGGAGCTCCCGTTCTTCCCAAATGCTCATGCGTCGTGGAGGGTGGGGGCGGGGACGGGGACCCCTTGGTGACATGGGGTGCCTGTGCCTGATCCGCTCTACATCTCTTGCCCGAACCCAATGTGAGATCTAATACGGCAGCTGATAAAGTCCTGATTCCAGATTCCCCGTTACATGTGCGCATGCGCGGAATAGGGGAGGGCGCGAGCTGGCCGAGTAGAGCAGAGCAGGCGAGGGCTGTGCTGATAGCTCAGCCGTGTCTGCAGAGCAACGTGGGAACCCGCTGCTGTGCTTTCAGAACCAGCATGTCCAGAACGTGAGAGGGAATAGTCCTACTGGGCTCCCTAATGGCCAGACTGCCGACACCTGTTCAGTCCTGGAGACTCACTTTAAAAGGGACGCTGGTACACAAGAACCAGGTCTAACTTAGCCACTAAATGGGGTAAGGTCTGTATGACTTGCCAGGGAGTTTGAAAACAACCGAGTGTCTTGACCAGAAGAATCAGTCTTCCCAGGTGAAACCCTGGCCGTGTGACCTTGGACAGAGTTCTTAAGCTGCCTAAGCCTCATTTTGTTTGCTTGTGAAATGGGAAGAATAATAGTGGCATTCCTGGCATAGATTGGTTGACTAGGTAAAATGATGCACTTCAGTGGCTTAGCATAGGGGATGTAGGACAGGACAGAGTCACACTGTATATGCTCAGTGTGTTTTACATGCTTTTTATATGCTCAGCATATGGTTGCTGGTATGTCAGACCTGCCTAAACACCTCTGAGTGATCCTCACTCCCTATTGGGTCGTGGCCGGATCCTCGTAGTCCCCTGTGATCTGGCTCCGTTCTACTTCACGGTCTTTGTGCCGGAGGTCCAAATGTTTTCTGGAGCCTGGCAGGTAGTAAAACAAGCCAGGTGGGCAATGGTAAACTGGGGAACACACACTCCATCTAAGGGGCACTCCTGCCTTGAGGCTGCTCGTTTTCCTTGGAGACTGTATTCCCTGTGCCTTCACACTTCTAGACGTGCAGGTCACTCTGAGGCCCTGGCCTTCAATCCTACCCTCTTGAGCTCAGTTGTTCTTTTAGACTTGGCTCAGCCTAACTTTTGTCTGAACTCATCATCTCCTCCTCTGTGGTACCAAAGCATTTTGTAGATCCTTCGGTTCCTGTACTTAACACATTTTTTGCTTGTTTGTCTAGAAATAATCATTAAGCACCAAAATGCATACCAGCTATGGCCATAAACTGGAGAACGTGCTCTCCTGGTACCTTTAGTCTCAAGTGGTGTTCGTGGCTCAGTCCTCCCGTAAGAAGGCAGGGACCACGTGCCATTTGTCTGGCTTCCTCAGGAAATAGCCAGTGAGCCTGACGGCCAGCGTACTAGTGTCCTCCTGCTGCTGTCACAGATTTCCACAGGCCTCACACCTTAACACAACACAGACTTAGGATCTTGCAACTCTGGACGACCTCAGGCTGGAACGGGCCTCACTCGGCTAACATCGGGGTGTCCCTTCCTGGGTGCCCCGGGGGAGAGTCATTGCCTTACCTTCTCCAGCTTCTAGTGGCACCTGTGTCCACCTCCAAAGCAAGAACATAGCATCTTCAGGTCTCTGACTGTGACCTCTTTTGCCTGCCTCTTCCAGTTATGAGGACCCTTGTGATTACAGCAGGCCCTCCTGGGTGCCCCTGGGCACTCTACCAACCTCAAGGCCAGCTAATTAGCACATGTAATTCCATTTGCATCCTAACACTGTGTTGCCATATAATGTGATGTATTCACAGGTTGTGGGCACCGGGATGTGGGCATCTTTAGGAAGGCCATTATTCTGCCCCCCAAACCAGGAAGCGCAGTGAGTGAAGAATGAATGGTGGATGATGAACGAAACTCTCAGGGGTGGACATCAGGGCTGTGCTGGCCACAGGAAGGCAGGAAATAGAGGAAGTGGCTCTGACATGAAGGAGCTGATGACCACCTGAACTGGGGGTGGTGGTGACTGGGGGTCTCCCAGACCCTCCTTCTTAGACCCACCATCTCTGCAGGCTTTCCCCGGACACACAGATGGAGACCAGCCCCTTGTTCTGTGCCCCCAAAGGGCCTGCCCTGGGGTGCTTCATCACGCTGTGATGCTGGGTCAGTAAATAAATGCCTGAGGGTGTGATAAAGCATTTGTCTTATTTCTCAAAGTGTAGCCCTGAGCACAGGGCCTGGCATAAGCCAAGTGTTCAAAAATTTGTTGAGAGAACAAATGAATGCATAAATGAAGAATAAGAGAAAACAGATGTGTTTAAATTACCTACAGCTTGTTCCACATAGGTGTTTTGTAACCTGGGATCACGGGCTTTCTGACATAACATGCAAAACTGGAGACTGCCATGTGCACTTTTTCCCCAATGGGGAGCAAAGGACATTTATCAGATTCTCAGCAGAGTAAGAAGCGCTGGTCTAGGTGTTCAGAGTCCAGAGACGGGATAATCTGGCCGTGGTACCAAGGAGGAGGATGCTGCCTGGGGACGGACAGACTGACTGCTCGCCGACACTAACTGGGCTTCTCTATCTTTCCTCTAGGAGAAGGTGGAGGGCTGCCTCTCCTGGCTCAGGACTCTAATGCTAAAGCTCGGAGGGGTATTTTAAGAAGAGCCGTCTTTTCTGAGGAACAGAGAAAAGCTCTGGAGAAAATGTTCCAGAAGCAGAAATATATCAGCAAGACAGACCGAAAGAAACTTGCCATCAGCTTGGGCCTGAAGGAATCGCAGGTACGGGAGGGCAGGGCAGTGCCTGTGGCTCCGGATCTGCTGGGGGGCGGGGGGCATAAGGAGCCCCTCCACTTGCCAAGTGTCTGTTGTACTTGGCTTTGTGCTGGACACTCAGGTGTTGTTGAAGTGATTTTCATGATTTTTAGTGGGTGGGAACATAGGTCCCATTTCCTGTTTGGAAATCAGTCCATTTACTGAGAGGTTCATTAGTTCTTCCCAAATGAAGGAAATGTTAAGGATGTGGCGTTTATATCATCCAATTGTTTGCTCTGTTTTCAGGGAAGCAGGCTGCCCAATTCCAAGCAGGAGCCAGTGTTCCTGCCGTCTTAATCCCAATCCACGATCTAGGCATGAATGAGGGGCTCATGATTTTAATGGATTTTGTCATTTCACAGTTTGGTCTGATGTCGAGTACAGTTAAGTAATGTTACATTTGTGATACTTACAAACCCTTTCGGGGCACTGATGTTTTTCCTATAACTTTGAACAAGGTTTCCTGGCCTTTTGGGAAGTACAGAATACTCCATTTGAAGATTGGCCTGCTTACGATAAATAATTGGCAGGATAAGCCACTAGCGTTTTCCTGTTTAATTCTTATAAACACCTTATGAGAGAAGCACCATCCTCACCCTATTTCCTAGCGAGGAAATGAGGAGTGGACTGGGTCCAGGGTCACACAGGGAAGCTGCTTTGGAGCCGGGCCACCCCTGGCCACCTGATTCTGGGTTTCATGCTCTGCATCACGTGGGGCCACCCCAGACAGCTGTGCAGGACGTCCGTGCACGAGGGCCCTCGCCAGGGGGCCGGCAGCCCCTAAGGCACATATGCTTTCCTGGCGCAGCTGCACCCACCTGGCTTCCATGTATCAGCATCGGGGCACTGAAGGGCTGGCAGCGGGCTCTGTGTCAGCCACCACACTCTCGTGTTCTTCCTTCAGTACAAATGACCTGGTTTCTAACTTCAGATTTCACTAAACCAGCTATTTTGGCATGAAACTCGCCTTGACCCTGCTTCCTTCCCCTAGGGCAGGGCTCTCCACCCTCCACTGCCCAATTCTTTCTAGTCGTGGGGAAAAGTTCTGTGGTGTGGGAGAGGGTAGCCAGCCTGGGTCAGCCCAGCCAGCGTGGTCTCCTCGAGGTGCGGTGCTGGTGACCCCATCACCTTAACTGGCTGCTTGGTGCCCCAGTTTCTTATTTACAGAATGGGGACACACAGAGGAATTCTGTCTATGCCCCAGAGCAGCTTGTGCATATGACACATCAGCAGCTGTACCTTGATGGGCTGTTGTGTGCAAGACACTGCTAGGTGGGCAGAAAGAGGGAATATTGATGAGGGCGGATTAGGGTGCTCTCCTTGCACCCAGGAATTTTTACAGCCACCTGGGAAAATAAATCAGAAGTGTGAGAGCGGTTAGATAACACACAGGACAATCGCTCTGCAGACGCCATTGCAGGTCAGCTATGCTGCCGAGTGGAGGCGCCGCCTCCGTGGTCCTCAGTGGAGCCTCACACGGACCCTCTCTCTGGAGGGACAGCCCCCTGACTGTCCTGCATCCCCAGGGGGAGCTGGTGATGGGACTCTCCGGTCCTCTGGCATTACTGGGCCTGAGCAGGACCACGTGGGCACTCAGCAGGCTTGGCCTGCGACTCATTGGCATGGATGAGAAACTCCCGAGGGGAGAAAAGGTGCAGGTCTGGGAGCTTAGGGGTGCCTCTGGAGATGAAAAGTGGCTGGGTTGGATCTGCAGAGCTCTGAGAAAGTGTCAACGTCTCTGATAGTGCAGCCCATTTTCTTAAAAATGGACTGTTGAAAAGACAGTGCGTGCAAATTAAAGCATATTTATGAGGGGATGCTCATAATCTCTCCATTCAAGGAAATAGTGCTCCTTTTTGTTATCATCCAGTTCTCATCCACAGGTGCGTAGTTTCACATAGGTGATTATATTGTTTTAAAAATTCAGGCACCTCAGGAATGAATGCTTTTTATCTTACTGAATTTGGTGAACATCTCAGAATCAATTTAACATTTTTTTATTCACATATAGATCTAATTACACACTTAAGACATGGCATTTATTACAACAAAGTCAAACAAAGGGAAATTGGTAAAGTTAAAGATGAAAACTCATTCCCCGTCCAACCCAACTCTGGTTCTATAGTCATTTATAAATGGCTTTGAATTTATTGACATATCACGTATTATTTTTTAAATATATGTCTGCATTGTATATGAACAAACATATAATAACACAAACACATGCCTAACGGCTACCAGGCACCCTTACATTTGATGTCATTTATCCTTATAAGGTAGCTGTTTTTATTATCCCTATTGTACAAATGAGGAAACCGAGACTAGAACTGTCTATATATGTTTTTAAATAAAAACAGGATCCTACTCTGTATGTATTTTGCTGCCTCTGAAGGAGAGCACAAATCACCTGTACACCCACACAGATTATTTACTTTTTTAATCTGAATTTTCCAGTTACCAGAACTTGAGGATCTTTTAATCATTTTAACAGCTGTTTTATCCAGAAAATTGATCTTTTCCTGGCTACACCATTTATGTCTGTCATATTATCTTTGTTGATATGCCGCAATTATTTTGGCTGTTAATCAAAATATTTGGAATATTATAGTTAGTGACATTTTCCTGTTACACAGCCATGGCTAAAAGCCTCTCCAAGTTTGTGGCAAATTATATATAACACAAAATTTACCATTTTTAGGTGTACCATTTAGTGGCATTAAGTATATTTCACATTGTTGTGCAACCATCCCCGCCCTCCATCTCCAGAATATTTTCATCTTGCAAAACTGAAACTTGTACCTGGTAAATGATGACCCCCTCCTACCCAGAGCCCCTGGCAGCCACTAAGTACTTTCTGTCTGTATGAATTTGACTACACTAAGTGTCTCATATAAATGGAGTCATTCTGTATTTGTCCCTTTGTGGTGAGCATATTTCACTCAGCATAATTGTCTTGCAGTTTCAACTATTGTAGCATGTGACAGAATTTCCTTACTTTTTAAGGCTGTGTAGTATTCCATGACATGGATATACCACAGCTTGTTATGCATTTATCCGTCACTGGACACGTGGGTTGCTGCCACCTTTTGGCTCTCACAGATAATGCTGCTATGAACCTGGGTGCTCAAGTATCTTTTGAGTCCCTGCTTTTAATTCTTGTGGGTAGTTTGTGGCTTTTTCATAGTTTATGGTATCTTTATTTTTACAGAAATTTCTCATTTTTATGTGGCCTGTTCTGTCTTCTTCTTCTTTGTGGCCCCAGGGTTTTATGTCATGCTGAAGAAAACATTCCTGTCCTGAAGGCTATATTGATGATCTCTTATGTTTCCTTCTAGAACTTCCATAGTTTTGTTTTTACACTTAGCTGCTTAATCCATCTGGAATTCGTTTTTATGTTTGTTGAGAGGTAGAACATTCATCTTATGATTTTTTCCCCCAAATGTGTACATTTGTGCTAATACCATTCATTGTAAAGACGCTTCTTTCAGGTTTTGTTTTATCTTGAGACATCACTCAAAAATATTCTAGATACACTGAAAAGCTAAGGAAAGAAGAACGTAATGAATGTGATGAGAAAGGCAAGAATCACTATTGGAAACAAATAAGTGTCTTAGTGCAAACCCACTAGAAATACACCAATTCCAGGAGTAAATACACGCTGCAGATAATAGATGAGTTTGTGAATAGAACCGAATACACTAGTACTGTTTCCTTATGAAAAGCCTTAGTCACAGGGCTGTAGGGTACGGCATTCTTTTGGATTCAGTTGCCTGGTGCAGGTTTCCTTTTATAGCCATTTGGAACATCACCGAACAAGTTGAAAGAGTGAAGAAATATTTCCACCAACCTGGAAAGCCCATCTTAGAATTTTTTTCCTTTCTTTGGGAGGCATATCTGGTTGATATACTTTAATAATTATTTCTTTGAGTAAAAATTTTCCAGTTTTTGTTTTAAAAGTAGAAATCTACTAAACTGTAGATGGCAGGATGTAAACTGCAGTATGCAGTGTAATACACAGGAAAACAATGGCATTGGTTTTCGAGATACCAGGAAACCAGCTGAAGTCTCTTTTCGGGCACAGCTGACTCCCTCGTCAGTAAAGAGAGAGGTTAACAGTAAAGAGCAACTCAGGCGGGGTGAGCGGAAAGCATGGCTCACGTTAGAAAACACCATCACGAGCACTTCCGGGTTAATTACAATCCATGGTATTTATTAGGCCTAGTTCTTTGAGTTTGATAAATCTTGGGAGCAATCAGACTTGGAAACTGTATAAAGCCTGCAACTTATCAGTATGTTATAGAATGTATTCTCAATCTAGTCTCCAAAAGTTGCGGAGATCTGACTGTTTTTAAGAACCTGGGCTCTGGAGTGGAACAGTTGTGGATTCTGGGCTGTTTCAACCATTGTACAAGCTGTGTGACCTTGAACTGGTTTATCGCTCTGAAACTCATGCCCAGTCTTCTTATGTGTGAAATGAGGACTGTGGTCACTGTGAAGATCACGTTATATAATCCGTGTAGAGTGCATGGCCTGATACTTGGCACAAAATAAACAGTCAGATGCTGTGGCTAGTAACATTTCCTTTGAGTAAATAAGTTAACACAGACTACATTGTTTTAAAATATGGAAGAAGTTGAGTCAATCTTGAAGGATGTCAGACGTACAAGATGTAACCGATTTACCACAGTCATTTTGTTTCACAAATGTGTGAGGATGTTGCACTAAATTAATTTTGGAAGGAGCCCACGAGGACTTCGCTAGGCTGGCTCACGTAATCGAGTATTCTGTAGAAGGAACAGTAGGAGAAAACAGCTTGAAATGCTGAAATGAAGTAACGTGGAATAAGTGATCACCTTGTCCAATTATTTTATCAATAGGTGAAAATTTGGTTTCAGAACAGAAGGATGAAGTGGCGGAACTTCAAAGAAAAAGAAGTGCTTTCCAACAGGTGTGTCCAGGAAGTGGGCCTCCAAGAGGACCCCCTGGCCCGGCCTGCGCCGGGTTTCCCTGCTCCGTGCCCTTCGCTCTGGGAAGTCTGCCGGCAGCCGAGCCCGAGGTGGAGAGAAAGCGCACCGGAGCCCTTGGACAGACTCACCCGGGAGGGTCCCGGGGCACTGTGCCCGGTGGCACGGGCCCTGCCGGGTGCCTTGTTCGTGTGTCCTGGAGAAGCTGGAAGCGAGGGCGCGCTCACCAAGTCTGTCTGAACGGAAGCGAGCATCCCTCCGTGTTGACTTAGAACACTTAGCTGATAACACTTAGCTTTGGATCTAAAGCCAGCTACCCTGTGTCTCATCAGTGCCTAAAACCTAACACCTCTGGAGTGATCCATGAACTAATGCTTTAGGAAAACTCTCTCCTATGTTCTCTTTTTGGGTCCCAGATTCAGACTTAATTTGTCGGCGGAACAGAATCTCCAGAAGGAACAGTGGATGGGACAGACTGAGAGTACCAGTTGGCTCAGCCCCTGCTCTGAGTAGATGCATGCGTATCTCTACGTGTGTGTGTATAAATATTCATTAAAACACATTAGTAGAAACTAGTTCCTCTTTTAATATTACATTTCCTTTTATATGAAGAAAAACCATTGACCCAAATGTTAATTAAAAAAAAAATAATGTGAAATTTGGATTTCAGTGTAAATTTTCATACCCAAGGACATGTTTTAAAATATTCTCTATTTCCTGTTTTTTTTCAGTATCCAGCCATCAGTGAATTTTAACAGCTTAGTAATCCTAATCAAATGAACCACTGTTAGATTCATACACTGAAAGCATGTATTTTAAGTCAACCCAGAAAGTAAACCGGAAGGATTTCTGAATGAAATGATTAGTATCCTTAATTTCTAAGCTCTGCCCCTTACCAGGCCATCAGTGAGGGAGGGAGGTACCTATTCAACTAATTTATCTTTTCATCCCTTCTCTTAAGAATGGGCCTTAGTCAAGGTTTGCAAAATAAAATGCCTTTAAGGGCCTGTCAGGTGAAAAGAGGGCATGGCCCACCTAAAGATACTTGAATTTAATAATTTTTAAAATACGGTGTTGGCCAACCAAAACGTGTGTGCCATGCAGTTTGTGACCTCTGGTGAAGACTTCAAGAAGTGTTGTAGTTCTTCAAATGTTCCCACCTGGACTTCAAAATACAGTGATGATGGATCTTATAGTTATTTCTGTTTACACTTGTAGTTAGAGACTCAATTTTCCACTTAGGTGGTATGTTCTATATATATTAGGTTATTTTTATGTATTAACAAACACCACACAGATGTTTTGTGTGGTTTTTTTTGAGTATCCTGAAATAGTATTATTATAAAATTGCATTTCTGGTAGCAATTTACTTAATTAATCTAGAAATTTTTATTCCAGGTCCAAGAAAAAATTATATTTCACTTTGAAGGAAATGAGACAGAAAAAGGAAATGATGTGGTTTTGAACTAGGTTATTATTAATTTGTGGACAAGAAACATTAGAAATTCTTGATGTGGAATTTTGTTAGTGAGAAAGCCATGGAAAGAGAGTGGCTCCTAATTGGCTCTTAGCTTTAGATTTTGAAGGTTCAGGGTTTAGAAAAGGCGGTATTTCAGAAAGTAAGGGGTTTTGGTGAGCATCAAGAACTTATTTTGGGTGAATGGAATTTGAATGCGTATAGGTTAGCCTGTCTTTATCATGAGATCTTTTATGGAAAAGTCATCTCAAAAGAAGCTTGTCTCAGATCCCCTTTCGGGGAGGAAGAGGGGGGAATCTGCTCACAATTTAAAATTTAAAACCTGTCTTAAAATGATTTGTAATATGGTTTCCTTTCTCTGTATAATATAATGTTAACCTCATTTCCATGTGTTGGGGTCCTTCCTGCATTCTGGAGTCTCCGCTAGGTCTTCAGGGTGGATTAACGATTCAGTCCTTATGACAATAACCCTGTGATGTAGGCACTTACACTGCCAGCGTTCCTGTTACCCAGACTCAGGGCGGTGCGGGTAGGGTGCCTGCCCAAGGTGATAAGGTTAATAAATGGGGTTTGGACCCCGGCAGTCAAGTTTCAGATCCTGAAGTCTCACCAACCACGTGGAGGTGGAGGCTGCTGTGGAGTCTGTTGTCCTAGCTATGGACGCATTGTGAGATCTGTGTCTTGGGGGTTGCCGTGTGCTTTATTAAAGAAATTTAGAAGCACATTGTACTTTATAACCTCTTACTGGGGGATGGTTTTCTTAGTATTCCCTATTAGTTTTGAGGTTTAAGGACAGTAAAGAATTGCAAAAGCTTCCAGCTCTGAAGCCCCTATGGAGTGGAGAACAGTCCCATAGGAGTGTTTTAAGTGTAAACTGGAAATACACACACACACACACACACACACACACACATATATATATATATTTGGAAATATATTTTTTAATCACTCTGTTAAAAATCATAAAGTGCTCATCTGTAATCATCGTTCCTTGCGACTAACTTGAAAATCAAATGAGAGAAACCTGAATCGTGGTCCTCTGATACCCAGGCTTTAGAAGGGGGCTCACTGGTGTTGTCTGATCGGCCCCCAGGGTTTCACCCCAAACTCTGAGACCCAGCAGAGGCTTCTCTCTGTGAGATTGGCCTGATTTTTGAATAGACAAATACACCTCCGACTTGGTTTCTGCTTGGAATATGTGAAGGCTCAGGAAAAGTATGCTTTGGGTGAATGTATGAGTGGCGCGTTGGGGGCGCATGAGCTCACAGCGAGACCCAGGTGGGCACTTACCTGCGCTGCGGAGAGGCTCTGAGCTCGGTTCCGAGTGGCGCGGGCCTCCCCTCTCCCTGCGCTGGAGCTCTGCCCGCCGTCCTCCACCTACACGGGTATCTCCTCCCTCGTCTAGACACGGACTCCGTCCAGGGGGCACAGTACACGCGGCGTCCGCTTCCCGGGCCAGCGCTCTGACACGCGCCAGGGCTGCAGAAGCCTGGGGGCGAAAGTATTTAAAACGTTTCAAGAGAAATTGTCCAGTGGATCTTGAGCAGATGAGATGGAAAAATGATGGGCAGTATCCTCTAGCTTTTATAAAGATAAATGTTTTGTAAAGCTAAATGTGGAGGGTTGAAAGTATATAAGCAGGTTAGGAATGGTCACTGGACCTGGAGATCTTTGATATTGAAAAGGCAGCTCTGGTTCCTGAGCAAGGAGGTTGGTTGAATGGGGAACCCGATTATTTAGTCTGTCGGTTCTTGAACTTTAAAAATCCATAGACATGCAAATGCCATCCTTTCTATCCAGTTTTGGGTATGTGCTCAGATCTGGACATATGTTCACACATATTCTTCAACATTCACACCTCCCATCCCACCACCCAGAATCATTATACATATATTTTTTTCACTTTTTGAATATAAAATCATAATTAAATATGTCCACCCAAATGACACATGCCCTTTCTGGCCCCTTTACTCGCCATTCTGACGTTACGTGTATACCTTCAAGCTACGTGCTCCCCTGCCTGCTCTGTGGCCCATTTTTGTCAAGCTCCGCTCATCTTTAATACAGTGGAGCTCATTCTGCTGTGTTCCTAAGGCTCTAGATGCTGCCTTCATCTGAAATCATGCAAATACAGGTTTCCACACCTCCTGGGCACCATGTGTGAGCGCTGTCCTAGGCTCTGTGCAAACAAGTAGGAGGGAGAGAGTGTCATTGCCCTCAAGAAATTTATAGTCTGTTCTTCTTGCCAAACACTTGAAATACCCATGCTCCTGTGCCTGGATCCAGTAAAACTGGGGAAAAAAGTAATCTTCTGACATCCTCCCCAAATCCCTTCCATTTGCAGTGGTGAGAGGGGAGGCTTATCAAGGGCTCCGCCCTTCAGACAAGCTGCTTGGCCTTTGCTGGCTTTCTATGCTGTCTGTCCTGCATTCGGCCACGTCGGCCCCGAAAAGGGCCAGAAGGGGCCCAAGAGCTCGGCTGTCTTTTGTCCGCAGCGCACCCCACCTTCTGCTCTTTCTACCTTCTCAGCCTCAGATCGACCTGTGCCCGTGGTGGGTGGGAAGAGTGGAGGAAAAGCGAATAACAAAGAGTGGGGAATCAGGTGACAAGTATTCCTGAATAGGTAGGGATAATTTCACAGAATTAATTTACATCCTAAACCATTTCTGAAACAAGAACTACCTTAAGGTCATAGTACTAGCCTGCAAAGATGGCTCTTAGCTTCCATGTATTAGTCGGATTCCTTTACATTAATTTTTTGGTTATAAAAGTTATACATACTCATTATAAATACACACTTGAAAATATAGCTATCAAAGAAAAAATGTGTAATTCTACCATCTGGGGAAAGCCAATTTTGTGGTAGCTCTTTTGTGAAAAATATTTCACTTTTGAGTGTGTATATATGTTTATGTAAATGTGTGTGTGTCTAAATAAAACTCAACTTTATACAGAGAACATTTTCATATGCCATTAAAAATTCTTTGAAATTATGATGAATGCGTAATATTCTAGTGTGATTCACTCACTTTTGGTGGACCAGGGGATGGGCCAGGAGATGGCAGGTCGTGGAAAGAGTGATCACGGGCTCCTGAGCCATAAAGTATGCTTAGGAAAAACAATCTGACCCTTATTACTTCTTGTAGCTAAATGAAAGCTCAGCCAACATAAGATGTAGGATGAAAATTGAGGGAGTTTCGACTCATACTATCGGTGGGGTTGAATGTCAAGGAGTATCAAATGTACCACCTGGAGAATTTCTTCCACAAGACACCATGAAGTTCATTAAAAATACCCCATCCATTCGGAAACAAGGGAGTGTACAGACCTGGATTCCAGGACGTGGCTGGCCGCACACCTGCTCGTGTAGGGTAGTATTCCACCTCAGTAAGGGGGGGCAGAAATCAAGCAAACTAGTGGCTATGTGGCATCTGCCGCCAGGTTTTGCCAAGGTGGAAAAGCTTCTTTGCCTAGTCAGAGTCCCATGACCCTCACAACTCTATGGATATTCTCTCAAAATTGAAAAACAAATTATGGGGAGAATCTTTTGCTAGCAGAGCATTCCAAGACTAAAAGGGAGTCTTCAGTGTTATTTAAACCCAAAGCAGAACCATCGCGCACTTGATGGTAGTTGAAAGCTGATTTTGGTAATTCAAAGTCAAATTTGAACACAGTCCAATGATAGAATTAATTCATAAGGTAGATCTAATCCTATTACTATGAATTTGCCCTGTTGGCTCCTAGGGGCTGCCATCTAGATTACCACAAGCTGCACAGCTTAAAACAACAGAAATCTATTCTCTCACAATTCTGGATGTCAGAATCCAAAATCAAGATGTCAGGAGGGCCGTGGCCCTTTGAGGGCTCAGGAAGCCGCCTCTTCCAGGTCCTGGTGGCTGACGGAGTTTTTCGGCTCGGGCTGCGTGACCCCAGTGCCCGCCTCTCTGCTTTCTCCTGTCATTGGATCCAGAACCGATTCTAAGTCCAGGGTGATTGTATCTCAAGATCCTTAATTGCTTCTGCCAAGTTCCTTTTTTCAAATAAGGTCACATTCACAGGTTCCAGGAGTTAGGACAGGGACATATCTTTTTGAGAATGACTGTTTAACCCAGTACAACTTTATTCTACAGAATCACAGCAAAATATCTAGAATAAACAAAAGTGGAAGACCTAGAAGCCCTTGGCATCCCCTGTAATGGAATTTGACTTAAGCTTTCGTACTAATCAAGCATTATACTATTTGCAAGAATATCTGTGGCAGAGAAATTTTTGTAGAAACTGCCTCCATTTTAGATTTCTTTATACACTGGGACAATTTAAGAAAATGCAGCATTAATTTGTTAAAGCCCCCAAATGGATTCCAGATGTTGACCGTTTAATCCATGAAGGTGTTTCCATATTGTACAAATGTGGTACAGATCAAAACATTGGCATTGTTTAATTTATGACTCACACATGAACCATTGTTTTCTGTGATATAGTTACTTTAAGTGATTCATAAACTAAACAATGCCAATATTTTGGACACATACCATGTTTGTATAATGAGGAAACACCTTCTTATATTAAATGGTCAACATCTGGGATCCATGTGGGAATTTCTTTGAAATTTTAAATAAAGACAAATTAGCATGGCATACATTTTCTCAGAGATGCACCTAGCTAGTAATTGAAGGAGTGAACTTGGCACTATACCGAGGTTAAGAAAATAGGGATGTTGTTGAGAGAAACATCCAATCATGTTTTACAGCACTGTTTTGAGGGTGGGGTAGATGGAAGTGAGGAATGAAATGCCATATGGACAGTATGGAGTCAGGGACCAAGAGTCAACTCAAGTGTATTCCCGTTAGATGTGTAAGTTACCAAAAGTTTCTGCAAGGCAACTCGGTAACAAGTTGTTAGCATATCCTTTGACCAGACAATTCTATGTAACAGAATTTATCTTAAGGAAATAGACATGTTCCAACAGTATTATATAGAAGTATGCTCATCCTGATATATTAGACTTTATTTTTTAGAGACATTTTAGACTCACAGCAAAACTGTGTGGAAGATACAGATTTCCCGTGTGCCCCTGCCCCGACTGGCTCATGGCTTTCCCCATTATCTCATCTCACCCCAGAGTGATTTGTTTGTTTACATTTGAAGTTTACATTGGGTTCACTTGATGTTATAATTTCTATGGGTTTTGAAAAATGTATAGTGACATGTACCCACCATTATAATATCATACAGAGTAGTTTCACAGCCCTAAAAGTCCCTCCCCTCATAATATATGTTTTATAATAATAGGGGATTGGTTAAATCAATTTTAGCAAATTTTATGTAATGAAATTCCATGCAACCATTAAAAGTAATATTGTAGAAAATTGATGATATATAAAATTAGCCATAATTCATTGTTAAAGGGAAAAACAGATTATAAGACAATGTTAATATCTAATATTCTGTGTGTGTGTGCGTTCAGGTTTAGAGAAAAGACTATACGCCCGTTTATTACCTGTAGCTTTGTCTGGGTCATGGGGTTAAAGATGATGCTTGCTTGCTTTTCCTTGTTTTCCATTTTCTGAATAATTGATGAATTGTATTACTTTTAAACTTAGAAAACAACCGTTTGGACTTGGGTGTCTTACAGACATCTCAAATTCAAATAAGCTCTTTCACCTGAAATCTTCACCAGTATTTCCTTCTCTCAGTAAATAGCGAAACAGGGCATCCAGTTGCTGAATTCAGCAACGTGGCAGTCGGCTGGGGTCTTTCCTCCCTTCTCCCCTCATATATAATAATCACTCACTGAGTCTTGTCCACACACCCCTAACATCGCTTCAGTCTGCCCCGTTCTCTCCATCCCCACCGTCACTTGTGCATTTCAGGTCACTGTTCCCCCTTCTAGAAGCCTCTTTGCATTCCCTCAGCTTCCTCCCAGGAGGGGAGTGTGAGGGATAAGAGGGCAGAGCGCTCAGGGCCCCTGGAGACAGGCTGGCTGTGGTGGGGACCCTGGATCTGGGCTCGACAAGGGAAGGGGTGCGGCAGGCAGGGGCGAATTGTTGGCGAGAATGCGATGGGATCCATGTAAAGGGTGTTGTGGTGAACGTGAGATTTTTAGCTGTGGGAATGCATTAAAAGCGATCTGGTGGTTGGAAAGTATAATATTTACAATTAGGATTTTAGGGTTTTTCACACTTGTGCTTTTAGCCTTTTTATGTGCTTATGCTTTAGGGTGTCTCTTGAAACACTATGTTGCTAAATTCAGCTTTGTTCAGTCCACTTCCTGTGGGGTAAGCAAGAAGGGTGTCTGTGTGGAGGCGGGCGGGCTGGTAGGCGCTAGAAAGGTTGTCCCATTTCAGAATTAGGTTTGGGAAGGAGCTGAGGACAGTGGATGGCAGTAGGAGTTGTAAAGAGAAAAGGAAAGCGGGTCAAACCCCCTGGATTGTTGGCTAAAGGAAGGCAGAGCAGGACCACCCCACACCCACAGGGCTCCTGGGGAGCAGCAGTGGACGGCACATGCCTCCAGGGACACCCGTGACCTGCGCCTTGGCCGCATCTACGTGGGGCACAGAGAATCCGCTGCTGGCGAGTCCAGGTTGGTGATGTGAGCGGCCTCGGGGGGCCCTGTCCAGCCCGGCGTGGGTCTCTGAGGCAACGGGTTTATAGTGGCGGGCAGAGCAAACCAGACCTTTGGGAGGGAGTGACACCAGAACTACCATGTGCTGGAGGTCGTCTCACTAAGGAGAAGCTTTCATAGCGCCGTGGGCTCACAGTTCAGTTATCCAATTGTTAACTAAATATATATTGATTACATGAGTCAGACACTGGGTTGCATGGTGGAGAATCAAGATAAGATCAACAAACCTCTACCAATCTAGGGGTTCATGACTCCCCTGCTTTAGACATAACCCTTGGCCTTTCTGAAGCCCTCTGGCCACTGGCAGATCTTAGTCAAAGACCTGATGGTGCTGAGAAAATGGATCTTTAGGTGATTGCACTTTGCAGGGGGAAGGGTGGTGAGGGTGACCCACGGCCTTGCCTGCCACAGAGCTGATAGCAGTGGGTTTCACTGTGGGGGGCTTCCAACCAGCCTACTTATCTGTGGGGCCACATGGGGAAGTGACAAGGACTCCCCTGTCACACCCTAATGCAATGGCACCTAGCTGTTGGGGACGTGATAAGACCAGTGGCCCCTCTCTCCAGATTAGCGGTTCTCCAGGGACATTTGTAATGTCTGGAGACATTTTTGGTTATCGTGACTGGGGCTGTCCTAGTGGCATCTTGTGGGCAGAGCCCAGAGGGCATGCTGAACAGCACAGTGCATAAGCTCCCACAACAGAGGATTATCTGGCCCAAAATGTCAATAATGCAAGACCGAGAAACTGCTCTAGGAAAAGACATGTCTGCAGAAACACACTAAACTTGCGACACAGTTTGAGGGGCTTCAGGGGCTTCCTAAAGCTGATCAATAGACCCAGTCTGAGTCAAAACTTTCTGCTAGAAGGATCTATGTAGCCTTATGACAGGAGGAAGATAGGCTTCTTTTTAGCTTTATTTCAAACAACTTGATTAAATTTTAGAACAGTATCAAAAATGTGTTTAATGGTTTACATTCTTTGAAATAAAGTGCACATTTTAACAAAAACTTTCCACTTTATTTTCAAGTCAAGGCACGTGGTAAGCCAAGCACGGTGCGGGTGTTTTTGAATCATATGCTGGTACATCGGGATGCCTTTGCATATGGGTTGTTTACAGGTTGGTGATGTGAGCGGCCTCGGGGGGCCCTGTCCAGCCCGGCGTGGGTCTCTGAGGCAACGGGTTTATAGTGGCGGGCAGAGCAAACCAGACCTTTGGGAGGGAGTGACACCAGAACTACCATGTGCTGGAGGTCGTCTCACTAAGGAGAAGCTTTCATAGCGCCGTGGGCTCACAGTTCAGTTATCCAATTGTTAACTAAATATATATTGATTACATGAGTC